TGCCTGTCGGCAGGCAGCGACTCAGAGGAGGGGCTGCTGAAGCGCAAACAGAGGCGCTACCGCACCACGTTCACCAGCTACCAGCTGGAGGAACTGGAGCGGGCTTTCCAGAAGACGCACTACCCGGACGTCTTCACAAGGTATGAGCTCAGGCTGGTCACCGCGGGCGCGTGGGCAGCGGCGGGAGGGCGCGGCAGGCCCCTGAGAGGGATGGAGGGAGTGGGCAGGAGCCCTGGATTGGGGTCAGGAACCTCTTCTGGACTCTACCAAGCTGCGCCCCTCCCTACACACCCACTCCTTACTCATCTTAAATGAGCCACTCTGCCCACCCCACCCAGAATTCGAGCTTTAAGTTTGAGCTGAGATGGTTTCTTTCCTCTCCAAGGTCGTTCCAGTTTAATGTTTCCAAATGACAAGTTTTAGTTAAAGAATAAGAAACAGCCTCGCCAAAAGAGCGCCCCCGATCGCGCCACCTTAGAGATGCACACACACACCCTCAAGGCCCGGGGCACCATGGCTAGGGGCAAGTCCCCTGCAAAGAGCAGGAACGCTGCCTGAGGACGCGCCGCCTGAGCAAAGCAGCAGCTATTTTTGGCGTTTGTGTTGTGCGCTCGCCATCCCCGCCTGGCGCCCCAGGAGCCTGCTGGGTATCAGTTACGATGTTTGGAGTGAAGCTGGAGCCCTTGCCTGTGAAAGGCCTTTAAAAAGATCGGAGTTCTGTCGTTTAAAGACCTTCTGAAATAACCGAAGGAAGTGGAAACTGGGCAGAGTTTGGTGTTTGTACACCTGAGGGACGCCTGCCTGAATCTTCCCCTCTAGTGTCTGCCTCCCCCCAACCACACACACACACATTAAGACCAGCCTGTGTTTAATGTAAATGGATTTCCGAGTGGACAGTGACTGCTGGACGCCTGGCAGGCAGTAGACAAACAGTTGGGGGAATTTTCTCTTTGGTTGAGTGTCTAAGCGAGGGTTCGGCCTGGTCACACTCCACTTACTGCTCCCCCGAATTTTCCAAGGAAAGATGTAGCAGTATGACTGGGCCCCTGGGCCCGGGCTGAGCCAACCAAACTGGTGCGCCAGCCGGGCTGGGGGCTTTTTTCTCCCGCCCCAAGGCCAAGGTCTCTGCCCAGGCAAGGAGCCAGGATTCAGGCAAAAAGTTCCCCAGTGAGGAAGGAGAAAGGGACCGGTGTCTGTCTGGCATGGGGCCTGTCAAGTGTGGGCAGCTCCTTCGCAGGATACGTGTGCAGCTTTTCAATGTGCATTTTAGAAGAGGAGAGCTGCCCGCCCTTTTGAACACCAGGAGAAATCGTTGCTTAGGGCTCTGGAGGCCCGAGCCAACCCCGAGAGGAGACGGAGTTGGTCTGGCAACTGCCAAACTCTTTCCTAACCAGAAATAGGAAAGAGCAGACTTAATGTGGGGCCAAGTCATTTAAACTTGCTCCTTCCCAGTGTCACCCAGTCTCTTGTTTATCTTTAAGAAGTGCATTTTAAAATCAGTGTGTGCTATCAAATAGCTAGCGGGCCAGCTTTTCGAATATCTCACACAAGTGCATTTCAAAAGAGTAAAACTGGCTGGCGTCAGGTGGCATTGGGGTCACCCTTTTTTAGCAGAGGGGGATGGAGGGAACCAACGTGAGTGGAGTGAGTGGAGCGGCAGGGGATGGACACCCACTCCTACCTCTTTCCATCCCAGGGGTTTGAGCCCCCTTGACTCTGACAGGAGCCAGCCAGGACTGGAGTTTGAGATTTACTGGTACCCACTGGTGCAGGGGAGCAACGGAGTGCTTAGCGAAGCGGGTTTCTCCCAGTGCTGATAGTTCAGATATGGACAGGGGGCCTGTCAGCAGCCCAGTCCGGGTCCCAAGCTTGGGCAGCCCCCACTCTTTCATATTAGCGGGCAGAGAGCCAATTATTCTGGGCGCACTCATATTTTCGGTAAACAGGTCGTAAGCCGTTTTACAGCATCTTAATGGTTTCCTATTTGCCTTAATTGTCGCAGTAATAACTGCAATGACGGGGTAGGGTTTCAGCTAAATTGACTTCCCCTGAGATGGGCAGGGTTTGTAGTGGGCACTGGAGTCAGGAGGTGCGCAGAATTTTGTTTAATCGAAAAATTACCCCACTGAACTCTTAACAAGCTTAACATATCTCCAGAGGGTAATGGGGAGTGTGACCTAAAGGGGTGAGGGGAAGAGAAGGGGGAGGAGGAGATGGAGGAAAAAGCAGAGAGCTGGAAAGAGGGGAGAGAGAAAAATGAGAGAGAAAAATTTTAAAGAATAATGAAACCAAGAGAGTGGAAAAAAAATTGGTTGAATGCTGAGTTCTTCTCCCACTTAATATCAGGGCAAGACAGGATATTCATGCTGTGTGTAAGTGTGTAGCAGGGGTTCTTGTCTAACTCTGGCTTAAGAGACAGAGAAAGAGAGAGAGAGAATCCCTGTGCCCATATTTGTATACTTATGGCCTGAAGAAGCCACCCCTTCACACTCAAATATAATATGATGCATAAAATACTATATCTGGCAAGGTGTTGTGTGTTTTTATGTTTCCATTACATAGTAGGTACTCCAGTGGTGAAGGGATGGTGGTGTCTGTAAGTTGGGGAGGGGGGCAGGCAGCCAGGGGACACCCTGCTGGAGGTAGCCTGCCATGGAGGAGTTGCTGGAAGTTGCTGAGTGACCTTCTGTCTGTGTGTTGCTTTCTTACAGGGAGGAACTGGCCATGAGACTGGACTTGACTGAGGCCCGTGTCCAGGTGAGCTGCACCACAGATGGAAGAAGGGAGGTGGAAGGGCTGGAGGACAGTGGGGGGACAGAGAGAGGGGGCTGATGGATGGGAAGAGGATTGGGACCCTCTTCGCAAAAGAAAGAGAGAAGCAGAATCAGAAAAAGTAGACCCAAGCACTCACAAAAAGGTAGTGAAAACTGAAGACTTGAGACATGGAAGGAGAAAGTTTCTGGGCTTGGGAGCCTGAGAAAGGAGTCCAGGATCTAAACAGGGGTTTCAGAGTCCCTGAGACCACAGTTCAGGAGTCCCCAGTCCCAAAGCCCCTCTAGGAAACAATCCACCCACCGACTTCTCCTGATTGAAATAATGGGATGGAGCATGGATTTGGTTGTTAGACAAATCCGCTCAGCTCCAAGCAGGTATTTGGCTGCGATTAAGTCTCCAATCGGGCTTCATAAAAGCCCACTTAGTGCTAGAACAAACAGGGCCATTTGAAGGCAAAATGCTGTTTGATTTCCCCTCCGCCCCGCACAAGGAGCTGGCTAATGCTATTTGATTTCCCATTTTTTATAGCAATGAGCCCACATTGATCTAATAGGGAGTGAGTGCAATGCTATTAAAGGTGTTTGCAGCCCCATACCAGAGTGCATTTCCGAACCCAGGCCTCATAACCAAAGAGACGATCAACACTGGGCAGCCCCGATGGCCAACAGAAAACAGATGTCCCCAGGTTAGGAGCTGAGTGAATCACTTTACAGTCAAAATCAGGCGCTGATAAAGCACAATAAATTCCATATGGCTCATTTAATACACAACAGCTTCTTGCATTAGAGGACTAATGATGAGGCCTGTCCCCTCCTTTCTGTTGACACATTTCTCCATTGTCAAACAGAGATGTGACAGCAACTCCTCGTTTTCAGCTCAGGGGAACGAATCGTGGGAAAGTTAAATAACTTTTAAAAAGAAAGAGAGCGCCCCCTCCCCTTCTCCTCTCCTCCTATTCACTGGAGAAGACGTAATTAAGTGAATATGAATTATTAGAGTCCTTTCGTTTACCTTTGGGGGGCCTCAGAGGTATTAATTCAATAATGAGGAATTGCAGGGGGACATCTTGATAATTGCAGTTGAGCGGGAGAGCCGCTCTGTAAGAAGGATTCCAGGTTCTCTAAAGGGCGCTCTGGCTCTCCTGCCCCAGTTCCCCTCCTTTACTCCTTTCACTCTGAGCAAGGAGTGGCGGATATTCCTGTCTAGACAGATTTGGATACACAAAAGCTGCCCACCCAGCCTGGGCCCATATACAGTCTTGCTTTTTCAAGCCTCTGAATTTCCACAGTGGAGTGTTTCCTGCGAGTCAGAGTCACAAGTCGATTATTTGAAGTCTGTGGATGGTTGGGGATGGGCCCTTTTTCAGCAGAATTCTAAATAATCAATTGATTTGGATTCTCCCTTTTTCGGGGCCTGGGTGGCTGTCTAGAAGTCAAACCAAGCTCTTGCTAGTAACAACCACCCTCAGGGTGTCTATTTGAAAGATACAGATGTCTTTACAATTTTTAAACCCATTCCTCTGGGATAATTTACATTATATTTGAATATAACTCTGTACAGCCTGGAGTTCATTCTTAATTTTTAGATTTGTGTGCAGTCATAAACCCAACCCTAAAAATATTAATGCCTTCAGGGGAGAAGGCACATATCTTCTCAGCTGTGGGTGTGATGAGCAGGTCACATAAAAATAATTTCATGCTCCTGGGGGTTATTTTTAGATGATGGTAGCTGCCATATTTCAGGCAAAGGTCTCTATTAGAACTGCTATCTATTAACAATTAGGAAAATACCTTATGTCGAAAACCTCCCCCAAGCCTAGAACTATCTTATTTAAATAATCTATTTAAACTGCATCCCCAGAAGGAAATAAAGGACCTGTTAGCACAGAAGATGTGAAAAATCTGTGCATATTTTGCCCTCTGAGTTCCACCTGCCCAGATATTGCTCCAGACCTGGTCCAGGCAGTCAGTATTTTCCTGCATAGACCTGAGGCCTACATGGACTCCCTGCAGACAGCAAGCTGTGCAGAACTGGTCCCCTAAAAGGTGTGCCCCTTTGCTAACTGCCTTGAGCATTCCTTTTCCCTTCCCTTTGAACCCCAGGACCCATTATAGTGCTCTTGGGTGGTCAATACATATTTCTAGAAAGAAGAAAGAAATCAACTGCCTTTCTGCTTTCTTTTTCAATATCGAGCAAGGCTTTTGCCAGCTCTTGGGTAAGCCTGAAATAGGTGAAAATGGCTGATAGGCAGTAAAACAGACATGTCATATCATCTTTTGGTGACTGTCCATTCCCAAGAGTCACCACTGAATGTGTGCTTTCACTTGTACTCATTCCTCACAACTGCCTTATGAGTAAAGTTTATTATCCCCATTTTACAGATTAGAAAACTAAGGTTCAGGGAGGATATGGTGACCTGTGTAAAAGATGCACAGCAAGTGACAGCACAGACATTTAAACTGTAGTTCACCGTCTGTTGGTGACTGCCCATTCCCAAGAGTCACCACTGAATGTGTGCTTTCACTTGTACTCATTCCTCACAACTGCCTTATGAGTAAAGTTTATTATCCCCATTTTACAGATTAGAAAACTAAGGTTCAGGGAGGATATGGTGACCTGTGTAAAAGATGCACAGCAAGTGACAGCACAGACATTTAAACTGTAGTTCACCGTCTCCAAACGCACTGAACCACTGACTTTAAACTTGGAAAAGTGGCCTAGTTGGAATGCCCACTCTAAGGGTTGGCTTGCCCCTGGTTTCCTGTGGGCTTTAAGTTTGGGCTCCTTTGGCCAGCCACAAATCTGTCT